CATCAAATCTCACATCTACAAGGCAGTCTGGGTGCATATTTCACGTGTGGAATGTTTGGACTGATGGTAGGACCGGATTGGCCCTTAAAACACCGCGAAGTGGTGCCGGAATCTGGTGATGGAACTGGAAGAGTAAAGGTAGATTCTCTGTTTTTCGTGTTTCTGTAACTATTAATTTGTACAGCAGACAGACTAACACGGCGCCCGCCGTCTGATGGCACTTGCAGTGGCCGAAGCCGTTCGGTTTTACGGAAGCTGCAACCCAGACCATCGTTGTCTTTGCTCTTGAGGTTGCGGGCGGCCATCTTCAAACTTTTTGATGCACTTTTTCACTAATCCATTCGGAAAAATGAGCGTTTTTAGGCAAACATGGGATGGCCTTGTTCGTTTTATTAAATTCATTTCGACTTAATCTATTCAGCAATAATGAGATCTCCACTCTACTGAACAATAACGAGGCCTCTTATTTCCTTCCGGGCAAGGGGCCCCTCGAGTAGAGCACCAGGGTACATTACCGGTTCCGGTCAAGAGTCGGGGGGCCACGCCATCCAATCGCGAAGCGTCTTCTGGCTGTCATCCTAGCGACACGGGACGGGATCTCCTGGTCGATCCGGAGGCCATTGGAAGGATATATCATATCACATTGTCCCCCTCCCTGCCATGGGAGGCCTCCTGACCCGCGCGGTTGGCCCCGGCTCAGCATAGGAACCCTCAATGATGCAACAACATCCCTAATCGCCAAAGGTGGTCCAAGAATTGTCACACAGGCTCAAGTTCCGTGCTTCTCTGATTTCTTCAGAGGTATTGAGAAATCCCTGAACGTAGATTGTAGATGAAATGGGGTCCTAACCTTGCTTTAACACGACTAATTCATGTTCGTCTTAAAATGTTCAAGATTCAGTCAGAATTCATTACCGATAAAAACTACGCAATATGGTTTTGAATATACACGCTCGCAAGTCATAGTAACAACAGGCTAAACAGCCGGCGTTGCAGTCTCCATGGGCCGCGCGGGGTCGACCTGCGGGTGTGATACTAAGCGACGGTCAATAAGCAAACGAAAAAGATGACGCATGTTGAGGAAGATGGCTGGTGAACTAGGTAAATCGGCAGGTTTATTTAAATGTAATGTAAAGTACGCTGAACACAACCTTAATCTGAAAAGTTTGGGGGGGGGGGGCAGTTGAGACTGCTGCCCCCCCCCCCACCCCACCTTGAAAATGGGGGGAGGGGCATGGCCCACCTGGCCCCCCTGTTGCTACGCCCATGCGGACGTTAGTTCCTTCTGTGGTGAATGTTCTGGTGCTTGAAAATGTAAAAATCATCTGGGAATTTTATCGTAATATGGAGCCGGAATATGTTCATTGAGCCGCAATTTTACCTTGAAAGATCAGGACCTTTTGACGCACGCGAGCCCATCGGTGGTGGATATTCTGATGCTTGAAAACAAAGATAAGACAGTAGTATCAACCTTATTCCCCCCCCCAAAAAAAACAGGAAAATAGAAACACGGGTTGATATTTCGGCAACATGCCTTTCTCGAAACAATGGCAGAAATGAATTCCTTAAGTTTTAGCTAGTTTCTTATTCTTAAGCGCTTTACTTGGCACTTTCTGACGCCTACTATTCAGTAAGCATGTTGCCGAAATATCAACCTAACTATAACTCTTTTATCCCGGTTTTCCCGAGGAATAAGGCTAATACTACTGCCTTATCAATTTGATTAGCGTTCCTCGCTAATGCATTGAACAACGCACGTGATGCTTGAAAAGTCGAAATGGACTGGTAATCTTTTGGTGGTGTGGAGTTTCCCGTGCTTTGACCTTGCCTTTGACCTCGAAGGTCACATGATGATGCAAAATAAGTGTATTTTCATGACCTCGTGCCATAATTGACTATGTGACGTGTTTTCCAGAAAAGAATCGAAACTCGTCGCTAAATAAATCGCCGAACAAATTGCCAACTTCACGTACATGTTGATTTGCGGCGGCTATCCACCGCTGCTCAGCATCTCGCACGGCTACAAACAGCATACCCTCGTCCGCTAATACCTGATCAAGCGAGGTGTCCGCGGTATCGTTCACTGCTTGAGCTCGTTATTTTCATTCGCCAACACGCATCCATGGACAAAAGTGAGCTTGCCGCAAGCTTTGCTTTGGTCAGAGCCAACTCGTGCAACAACGATTATTTCGGGGCCGTGTGATTAAGGGAGCTGGTGGGACAACATTGCGGGTGTGTAGGAAATACCCAGGGCCGTGTGATTAAGAAGGGAGCTGGTGGGACAACATTGCGGGTGTGTAGGAAATACCTCGGCTTGGCCTCACCCCGCACGCGTCTGTGAGATTTGTGCGGGCTCTCTGGCAGGGATGCCGCCAGGCCGGCCATGAAATCGGCTCGTGACTGACGGCCACAGCCTGACACGGTGTGACGGGATGTTGTGGGATTTAGGATGAAGCGATGAAAGAGGAAAGCAGTGGGGAGGGGTCTCGCGAGTAAATAATATTCTTGCTTGTCGGAGATTGGCAGAAAGACAACTGTTCGGTTGAGATAGCAAAAGTGATTCTTTCAACCCATTTCCAGTACCATGCGGAATTTCTACACTGCCTGCATTTGCCCTTTCGCGCCGCCATGACTACTTCAGAGAAAATATCAAATTCGACACACTGCAGCAGAACCCTGCCAAAGGCCCGCCATAAAATGGTGTAAGATATGCCAGCAGTAAAAAAAAAAAATGATGCACAGCATGCAGCGCGATGCATTATGTGGATGGGCCTCCTGGGAGTACGGGCCTGTTTTCGTTTTAATCGACACCAAATTTGGATTCAACTCATAATGTATCGATATGTCGTGGATCCATTGGCAAAAGCATGCTGTTAGTCGCTTATAGCCGTGTCAGGTGGCTATGCATACTTGCAGGGGCCGCCGCTTGCATTGCAAACGTGCAAAGCAACGTGCGTGCTGGCCATGACACGCAACAGCGATGTTGTGGATTTCACGAACATTGCGCGTCTCAGACCCCCGAGGATCGCGACTTTTCAAGCCGATGTAGGGGCTGATTAAATATTTGTGCGGGGACCCGGATTTGAACACAGCCCATCCATTGGCACACCGTCACGGATCCGACGTTCTCGCCGCCGAGTTTCACCGTCCTCTCCGGACATGCCACAGGTCCCAATGCTACGTTAAGACTTGCAGTTCAGAGAGGGCCACCAAGACGGTTTCCGTCTTTCTATGCTCATTCATTATTACCTCTGACTGGGACGGCTTTTGGCGGCTGACCGCGGCCGTGCTAAAGGTCATGTGACGTCAGAGGGGGGACGGGCCGTGAAGAGCATAGCAGCATGCTACAATTTCGGTGCAAATCCTGCCGTTGACCTGGTATTTCGCGATCGGGTCTTGGGGGCACGGCTCGCGTAGCAAGCACCGCATTACATGAACTCTGATCCAGAAACTCATTCATCCAAAATATGCGGATAAATAACAAAATAACAGATTTGTACGCGGCTTGCATACCAGACGGCCAAATGGTCGGGAAAAAGCAGCCTCTATGGGGATATGTAGGACTATATGCATCAGTACTCTATAGGGATCAGTACACTCTGTTGGGACCAGTACTACTAGGGGACCAGCACTGTACGAAGGCCAGTACTCCACCACGACTAGTGAACTATATCGGGACCAGCTGCGGATCGCCCCCCCCCCCCTTCCCTCTTTGCCCGAAATAGGACAAATATATTTGCAAAGCTCTGTCATGAGTCAGAGCCACTAAAAGTCACGCGGCCAAAGACCAACGGGTTTAGCAATGCGGCAGCACCCATCCAGACCATAGCGCAAATCACAATATCGCAGACGGCGAGCCAGCCGGCCTAGGCTGGAGCCACGAGTCGGCCCGACCGTGGCTAAAAATAGCCGAAACCTTGGCCGACGTTTCGTTTGACAACTCGTTACAATGACAAATGAACGTGTTTGCCTCGCCGCGACGTGCTCATCCAACGAGGCATTATGGACGCCGCGCCATAGAGACGTCCGTTCAGAACTGACGCGAAATGAAGCCGAAGCTCTCAGACTGACAAACCACCTTCCGCGAAATCCAGCGCTCGGCATAAGCCCCTGGGATGTAAGCTCCCAAACCGCGAGACCGTGTCGCAGGATTCCAGTGCAGCAGGACTGGGGAGCACCCGAATCCCCTCGCCACGATTCGCATGAGCAAGGACAAACAAATAAAAAAATAGAGATACTAATGCAGCTTTAGCACGGAGATCACATATGCGAATCAGCCTCCTGGATCACGCTAACAGCAGCTTCTTCCAACAGCAGGATATGCCTCACGCTGTGGCTTTCAGGCCGACGTGAGAAAAACACAGGTCAAAAGGGTCAGTCTCGTGGCGTACACACTGATCAGCGCCGGTCGAGGCAACTAGGACAGCAAAGCTCGGGGCTGCGGCACGGACGACACTACGGAAGACCGCCTCGAACCGGATCTGGGAAGTCCAGCCATTGTATTGATGAGATGAGCCGGTGAGTCATGAGGATGTCGCTTTGTAAAATGTGTCGCTGCAAGGCGTTTAGAAAAAAAGAACACTGCGTCACCAACCCGTTTCCTCCAATTCCGAAGTGACTTGAGCAGTGCGTCAATCCAACGTCAGAACGCATGTACAGTGAGATGAGCGAGCTGGCCTCAAACGGCACGCTCATGAGCGTCATGTGCGCCGTGAAGTGTCAACGATCATGAACATTAAAATCGGGAGAGGCGATACATGTGGATCGGCACAATACACGAGCGAAGCCGATGAGCCTCGCAGAATGGAACGACAATCGCGTCTCTCCCACTACCCTCCTCCACAATCCCCCTCCACACTGAACAGCACATAAATAAAGATACGATTCCAGCCGATCGCCACGTTAACACACCAACATTCTGCCATGGCTCGTCCGCCACAATTTGCAAGGGCAAGCTGACGTCGATCTCCGCCCACCGATCCCGGCCATTCCAGAGGCCATCACCACGTGAAGAGTCCGTCGGTGCAGGTGACCTCGCGGAGGACGGCGGCGGCGGCGGCCGGCGCCGGCTCGCAGAGCGTGGCCACAAGCGGGCCGTCCAGACCGCAGTCGGTCAGGCCCTGCTGGCCGAATACGGCTGGCGCGGGCGGCGCCGCCGGCGGCCGCAGCTGCGCCAGCGGCTCCGCGCCCCGCACGCCGCTCAGCGACAGCGAGAAGTGGGCGTGCGAGCGGCGCACGAGCGCCACCAACGCCTGCACGGCGTGCGGCATGACGGGGCCGGCCAGCTCGAACGAGTGGAACGTCTCGCGGGCCTGCTGCACCGTGCCGTGCCGCACCTGCCGGGCGGGGCGAGGCGCAGGGGTGAGGGCACTGGCGGGAGAGCACAGCTGCGACGGCGCTGCTCACCGACTGGGCAGCCAGGCAGGAGCCCCGCAGCGAATACAGAGAGGACGGCTGGACGCCGGGGAGCCGGCAACAGGAGACGGTCGATCTAATGGGGAGGCTTCATCACACAGCGCGAACGAGGACAGAGTGAGGTCATTGGGCAGCTCGTCCGGGTCACGCCCACGCCCACACAGTGACCTGACCCCACGCCTCCCAACCTGTGAACATCCCGCTCAGCAGCGCCGGCCGCGCCGCGGCCGTACCTTGAGCGGCTGCAGGGAGGCGCCCTGGAAGCCGACGGGCGCCAGCAGCGTGGGCGGCACGCCCGCCAGCGGGCCGCTGGCCGTGACGCAGGCGCGCGAGTTGAGCAGGAAGTTGAGCAGGGCGTACACGTCGCCGCCCTGCACCAGCACGGTGGAGGCCGGCTGGCCGTCGAGGCCGCGCCGGGTCTCCTCCTGACTGCACCGGCCAGCTCAGGAAATACCCGACCGCGAACAGACCCATACATGGAGGCCAATCTGCCCCCTCCCCCCCCCCCCCCCAATCCCCCGCCCCCGAGCATCACATCACCGCACCGCTCCAGCAGGTACGACATATCAAAACCAAAACGAGGTTTTAGATGTCGCTCACAACAAGCCATCAAACGAATGAAGTCACTGGCGGGGGTGATCGCCGTACTCGGAAGACCCCACAGTCATCCCCCGAGAACGACGGCCCGACTGAGGCTATCTCCGACATCGGCACGAGGTGTATTAGCTTTTTCACGAAGACTTATGACGTGCAGCATGAACGCTCTGAAGTGTTCCAAAAAATCTTGCAGGTATACAGGGCCGTCGGACCGTGGAAGTTCCCAGATAAATCCGTAGATTATTTACTAACGCAGGTAAGTCCGCAGGTGATCCACCGCAACCACCACCGCGGTAGACACTTTGCAACAAATAATACTAATATATTACTCCCGCTCAAGACCCTTCGGTTGCTATACAGCTGTTGTAATATCGAAACCACCCACTACCCTGATTACGCCGATGAGCGAACATTTTGAGCAACAAAAAATGGAATCGAATAAACCTTCCCCAACCGCCTTATGTCTGCGCTTTGTCGGGGTCAATGCAAAGGCAGAGTAGACTAGGACTAGCGATAGCTCGCACACGACATAGCAACGCTAAATCAGACACATGCGACCTCTGACGGCATGCGCCAGCTTGGGCGCGTGTCCCACCTGACACCGTTCAGGCACGATGGGAACGACTTTTCGTTTGTTACGGAACTGTAGTCGGACAGCAGAGTAGCACGTGAAACGAAAAACAGCTTTCGGGCGATTGTTGGTATCGTTAAAATGGGCGGCTTTTTAGGATAGCATTAATGAAATCTAAAAATATCTAACCTTTCCTGGGCCGATTCGTACTTGATAATGCACATAAGTCCTTGGCTGCTATCATATAAGCACAAAAAGTACTAAATAGGCAAACATAACTGATAACATTTCGAATAGCAATGCTTTGTCGGATGATCTATAGATACAAAGTAATCCGACGAAGGATTTTCGCACAAAATATAGTGATATTATTTTGACCCATTTAGTACTCTTGCGCTTATGAGTCTGAAGGCATGGTGCTTTGTGTTTGATTTACCAACTTAGCTCAACTTTGCTTCACGTTTTCCACTCGTGCCTAACAAATATTTCCTTGATAGCGGCGTTTAACCATCACCTCCTGATATACTGATATACTGACCAAAAATATATGGCCAAAAACTGTTAGCATAATGACTCTGAATTCATAATGGTGATCAACAAATGCAGGGCGCATTCCCAGCGTAAGCAGAACAGGGACGACATCTGAATGGCCATGAGTGCGTGACGGGCGAACGACACATGAGGACCAGCCACACGCACATATTTCCGTTTTGGCAACAGATGCGTGGTTGTGAGTACCCGTGTTGGTGTGCATTAGGTCACTTGGAACCCGTGTTGGGGTACCGAAGGTCACTACGAACCCGTGCTGGCATGCGGTAGGTCGCTCGGAACCCGTGCCGATATGCGGTAGGTCACTAGGAAGCCGTGTTGGCATGCGGTAGGTCACTCGGAACCCGTGCCGGTATGCCGTAGGTCACCAGGAAGCCGTTTTGGTATGCGGTAGGTCGCTCGAAACCCGTGTTGGTAAGCCCGTGTAGGTCACTAGCAAGCCGTGCCGGTATGCGGTGGGTCACTCGAAGCCGTGTTGGTGTGCGGTAGGTCACTAGGAACCCGGGTTGGTGTGTGGTAGATCACTCGAAACCCGTTTTGGTGTCTACTACTCGGACCCCGGCCTACACATTGGCTTAACCGATTTTGAGCCACGCTAAGAATTGCCAGATTTTGTTCGCTAAGTAAGATACTGCAATAAAATAAAGTAATGATTGTGGGATTATGATTTGGAGCCCTTATATGCCACGTCATCGCACAGTTTTAAGCAGGGGTGACAGCAGTTAACAGTCACGTACACAGCTTATACCGGCCGACACGGTACCAAAATTTGCAGTCGAATTAGATTCAAATGAACCCACCGAGTGGTTTGTCACGCTCTGTCGAGTGTTTTCATTTACGTAACCACTAACCAACGCTGCCGGATTAACCTTGTCATGGTAAAACGAACCTATACGCCATTCAGTGCATATAAAGTTGAAGCAAAGTCCTGATTGTGCTCTCATGCCACACTTAGCTGAACTATACCCTACAGTTCAATGATGAAAAGCTGTTACCGGACTTTTACAAAAAGCCAGGATACGCGAGGAAATGCTGGCTTGGGAAGATAGTTGTCAGGTACAGCATGCTAGCGACGTCAGACAGAGCTAGTGCAAGGAAGCCGGGTGGAAAATAGAGGTTGGTGAGAGAGGAAGCAGCTGCATCAGCATACGACAAGTAAAGGCAATGAATCAAAAAGAAGATAAAAAATGCGCACCGGTCGGCAGTTCGGACCATTCCTTACGCAGGCAAAACTGATGACAACTGTTACGTCAAAACAAACAATACACAATCCACAGTGTGAGATGGTAAGAGGACCGGTACTGTCCTCCCCCTCCTCCTCCTCCTCCCCTGCAAAGGATACAGCTTGCGGCGGGTGGAGTGCATGCCTGGCATGGCGTCAGCCGCTATGCCTTTGCTCTCCAGCCAGTGTTCGGGGTCCTCGTCCTCGTCCTCGGAGCCGTCCTCCTGGGCGGCGGACTGGGCCGGCGCGGCGGCAGGCCGCAGCGGCAGCGTGAACTGCACGTCTGTCGAGCACAGGCCAGAACCGTGTATGGGTGCGGCCGCCGCCGACAGCTCGTGTCGGCCGTGAGTAGAGCTCACCCGGTCACCCATGATTATGTCAGGGCTTTGGGATGAGGGAGAGGCACGATGGGGCCATACTGCAGTCATCGCAGGCGGTCTCGTTACAGAACCTTACCCCCTAGAGTGACCTACCCTCGAGGTCTGTGCAAGTGAACGGAGGAGGCCGCCGCGAGGAGCCGCAGCATGCCCGAGCGAGACAGGCCGTTGCCAGGATTTAGGATGGAGGCGGTGAGTGGGAAGAGGAAAATGGACGAAGCCGTTCACTGGCATGCGTTAGCAACCATCGAACATGAGCTTCGAGAACATCGCCGCACCTAGAGCATAAGAACTCCGAGCACGCACGAGGGCCAATAATCCTGCCATATCGAGTGTGTACCTGAGCCTATAACCGGACATAGTGGGATTGCGTCAGGCTGCTTAAAACGCTTTAAAGAGAGCTGCTTTCCGGTCCACATATTTAGGCCAGGATGAAAGCCCAGACATGCACAGTGCTGCCATCTATCCAACGCAACTGAAACAATATATCAAGCTGCCATCTAGGAGACAAAATTCAAACTACGATCTTGTTCACGAGCCACTCCAGTCCATGGGCCACCAATGAACCAACACTGTAGTAGCGACAATGATAATTTACAAACACAGCACAGGTGAATTTGGCTATCAAAGAGCTTTAGCGATTCAACTTGTTCAGAGGAGACCAGGCATCATAACATATACACTGAACAGCTGAAGCTGTTTCTACCACACTCACAGGGGAGGCTGTTGCATGCAACTAAACGGCTTTTTATCGTTAAGGAAGAGATGCGGAGGTAATAGCTTACATAGCACATCCAAGTTTATAATACCACCTGAGCAACAATGGTAGGTGTTTATTTCTGAATCACGAACACTACCACATCTCACATATCTATACACACGTGACCAGGGACAATTAGCGAGCTGTTGCGAGCCACCCGCACCAGCAACACCGCACTAATGCACCTTACACAGTGAAACCAGCAATGGGCCACATCCCATCGTGCACAAGCCAGCAGGCGCGTGGCGGCGCGCCGCTGGCGCCGGTGCGGCGGCTCACCGTCGCGTTTGAGGAGGTCGCGCAGGCCGCGGGTGGTGGGCGTGACGATAGCGTGCGTGTCAGTCACGCCGCCCACGCCGGCCGCCCGGAACAGGCAGCAGAAGCTGGCCGCGCACACGTAGAAGAACGGGCACTGACGGCTGCGCAGCAGCTGGAACAGCGAGCGCAGACTCTCGCCCCTGGAAGAGTCGGAAGTCAGGGGTGCACACATACGGCAGACTTCCGCCCCTGGAGGAGTCGGGAGTCAGGGGTGCACATATACGGCAGACTCTCACCCCTGGAGGAGTCGGGAGTCAGGGGTGCACACATATGGCAGACTCTCGTCTCTGGAGGTGTCGGGAGTCAGGAGTGCACACATACGGCAGACTCTCGTCTCTGGAGCAGCCGAGGGACGGTTAGGTGAACATACACGCACACCCGCCTCTGGGGGAACTGGAGGACGGTCATCGGTGCAAACACGGCAGACTCTCGCCCCTGAAGGAGCCGGAGGACGGTCAGGGGTGCAAACACGGCAGACCCTCGCCCCTGAAGGAGCCGGAGGACGGTCAGGGGTGCAAACACGGCAGACCCTCGCCCCTGAAGGAGCCGAAGGACGGCCAGGGGTACACCCACGGCAGACTCTGGCCTCTGGAGGAGCCGGGACAGGGAGCCGGGGGACGATCAGTGGTGCACACGTGGCAGACTCTCGCCTCTGGAAGAGTATGGAAGGAAGCTGTGCTGGGGAGGGCAGGGATGGTGCAGGACAGGTAAGCTAGCTAAGCTAGTAAGTAAGTAGCAGTAAGCTAGCTAGCACATACGCTGTGGGGAAGGACGAGGTAGGCGAAACTGTTGGAGGACAGCGTGACAAGCATAAGTGGCGGGGAAAAGGCGGGTCATAGGATAGGAACGTGATTGGGTTTGGGAGGGGGGGGGGAGGAAGAGATGTTAGATATGTGGTGAAGGGACGTGGGCGCGGGGAGGGGACGGGCAACGTAGTGTGGCATAAGGAAGAGGTAGGGGAACAGACACGCCGGGGAAGCGAGCAAATCTGCACAACAAATAAGCAAGGTTTTTACCCACCATAGCATGAGATCAGCATGAGAAGAAGATGGACGATGAGCAGGAGTGAGCGATATACGTGCTTCCCACTGGAGACGCAAGCCAGACTGACCCACGCAGAACACGGACAGGCACGCATGGGCGGCACGGTGCCGCTCACCACCGCTGCCGCTCACCATTCTGTCCTGAGCAGGTCCTGCATGGGCGCGTCGATGAAGAGGCTGCGCGCGCCGGCCACCCGGCTGTGCAGGCGCGGAAACAGCGTCAGCCACGGCAGCCACGGGTGCTGCCAGTAGAGCGCGTGCCGCTGCAGCTGCGCGTTTGGAGACGTGTCGAGCGTGCTCTGGTCGGCCGGCAGGCAGCGTACGCAGCTGGTCACCGCCGACGCCTCCTCCAGCGTCTGGCGGACGCATCCCGCCCGCCTCAGCCGTCATCAGACGCAGCACAGGATCGCAACATGCACAGACACGGCTTTCCCGAAGCGTGTTCCAGACGCTGAGCTGCCGGCTCGTGCAGTTTGGCGGAGGTGGGCACGTGGGTGGGCACATCACACGCATATAAGAACCAAAAGAACACTACACGAGGAAGAACGGCGCTCTGTGGTAGTGGAGAATCGGAAGTCGGAGGTGTGGTTCGAAAGGCCGGTTAAAGGAGTCCGAATAACGTTATTTCCAGCGCAGTCCTCGCTCGCGAGGAAGAGGTGAACTAAGAAAAAGGGGCGGGCCACCGGGCCGGCGCATGCGGGGCGCCCGGCCGAGGTACCGTTCAGGCGGCACCGCAACCCGCTCACATGTCTGATGCCTAATGGCCAAATATCCTGCACGATGGCACAGTAGATACGAACCTTCAGACGACTCGTCCACGGAAACGGCGTTTTCGATAGGAAACGGATCTTCGTCTTCAAACCCCAGTCAGTGGGTAAGTTGCGTTCACCTTTTGGAGCCTCTTCGACCTGGAATTGCATCTACTATGTTTCAGCACTGTTGCAAATTGAGGACTTCCAATGCAATGGTACTTATGATGAGGGTTTAGCCTTTATCACACACGCATGACCTATCGACGTCTAATTACTCAAAATGCAGCAATGACACCCTCAGTCGCATTGTACGGTGACCTCGCCACCATCACTACTGCACAATGTACATCCTGCCAGGCCGTGCTCCAGCCACGTCGTCACATCCACCTGCCTCTTCCCGCTCGCTTCGGCGCTCGACGTCGCCTCGTCACCCGTCTTCGCAGGCGGCCGCCCGTCTCCTCACCTGCCGGGTGGAGAGCCGGGGCGGCGCCGCCTCGCCGAGGCGATCGGCGGCGCCGGAGAGCAGGCCCGCGAACGAGGCGGCGTCGGCGGCCGGCGCCGGGCCAGGCCGAGCACGCGCCGGCGCGCGCAAGTCACCGGCGCCCGAGCGCAGGATCTCGAACAGCGTCTGATCGAGGGAGGGTTCGGGCGGGCTGGCCTCCAGCCGCGCCCGCTTGGCGTCGCCACCGTCGTCTCCTCCGCAGCTGGGCAGGGCGTAGCACGTCGTCATGCTGAGGTGGCTTATTGGCATGCATATGGTTAACAGTCACTCCAAAAACACAACTTGTGCCAAGAAAACTCAAACTTTTAGAAATCCACCGAAAACATCTCAGCATAGAAACACTGAAGACATACATTTGGTTTTTCAGATGTGTTGCTTCTACCAATGACCATTGTTGCATAATGGAAACAAAATAAACATCCATCATTTAATAATCCACTTAGGCAAAGATCTCATACTCACCTGAAAGGGTTTGTGCGCTTTTGCTTACAGCTATTTAAACTAGAAGATATCTGGCTGGATGCGAGGGCTTCCTTTCTAATGCTTTGATTTATTCTGGCCTTTAGGGCCTTTTTCTTGGCCTTTAGTTTTTGGAATGCATCCTTGGGCTTCAACCACTCTCCTCTGCTTGGTGAGCTCATGACTAACTGTAAAACAGTAACAATACTTCCAAACAATGTTCACTTGTATGTTCATGTGTACAACAGTGGGCAAGGCACATCTAGGCACGCACTTGATGCAAGATATCGATCTGCCATACATGAACATTATTTGTCACATTGTGTTGCATATTCCACAGCTCAGAAATTGAACAATGTGAGAGCCAGCCAGTAACCAGACAACCAATGTGATCACCATTAGCATCTCAGTGCACCAGATAGAAAATGCAGAGCACATGCACAGTGTATCCTCATCCTTGACACTCCAACACCTGTGGAAGCAGCAGCAGGCACATCTCAGAATTGAGTCTAGCTCTTTTTGGGGTTATTTGCAGTGTGCCTATGGGCAGCAAAAAAAAAACTGTCCAAAGGGTGTCTCTGGTTCAGTTGTTACAGACTCAGCTATGACTGATTTAGCTGTTCCCGATTGTTATCCTGAATCAGCTGTTGGTGATTCAGCTGCCTTGGATCAGGTGTCACTGAGCCAGTTTCCACCAGTTCAGTTGTCCTGACTTGGTTGGACCTGGATGCCAATTTTATGGTAATAGAATCAAACTATGCACATCAAGAAAATATATATATATATATATGAGGGTGTTAACAAAAACTGCTGTTCTCTTTAAGGCTTTACACCGAACTCAGCTGCTGAAGTTAAGGCATCCCCTGTGCATCACGCTGGCAGGAAGGGTGGGCACATATCACCGAGTTATCAAATTAGGTACCTGACCCATAGTGGAACAGGAAGATCCACATATTCTGGTAAGATTGTCACCTGACATACCTTATGCGGACCCCAACCAGCACCCATTTTGTCACAATATACTTGGTCCAATAGGAATTTGTTGACCAATATGGACAAACCAAAAGAATGCTAACAAACTTAAAACGCACCTCATCCAGTTGTTGAAGTATGACACAATTGATAAACTCTTTATAAGGGATCATAGCTATTGGTTAAAAATCTCCTTTGGTGGTTACTTAATGTAGGTGAAAACATCATAGTCGGCATGTTGGCAGCATTAGTATCAGTCCAGGAACATGAAACGCCAACAAAATGCAATAAAAGAAACCAGTGTAAAACCAAAGTTACCTGGTGTGGAAGATATTACCCTTGTTTTCGACTACAACTTTCAGCTGGTGCCATCGCTCATAAAACGCAATAATATTAACCATTCAGTAGCTAGGCCCTTGTGCTCTCACCAACTGTTCGTCGAAGCTGCGCCGTTACAGACCTTTGTTTAGATTTGCGCCATGTCTGTGGTGCCAAGTACTAATGAAATACCAGTGCAAGTCTCGAAAAAGTTATGAAATGAAGGCCCAAGATGGCAAAATGCTTGCACGGTTTTATTTCCTCATTTTTGTTTTTTATTGGGAGCCAGCCGAACCCATCAGCATTAGCGTGGTAGACTTTTAGGAGAAAATGATGCACAAGAGCACAGAGATCAGTGTCTTGTGTATGTCCATGGCACGAGTAGGTGACACGTGCTTCAAGCCTACGTTCCTGGTTCCTGGAAATCAAAGAACGGATACATGGGCTATGGTCGTCTTCTGAGCATGACCCGCTCGCTTAATATGACATGCCCGAAACTGGGCCTCAGAATGCGTTAGATAGGCGCTTCATGTGATGCATATTTGTCGTATCAGTGATGTCAAAAACATTTATTTCGCAAACTGATGCCTTGGTTTCTTTTCTTTTCGAGTGCAACAATTTTTTTACTTTCATTTACCCGAATTTTAACAAATTTAGAGCTAAGTTTCTCATGAGCAGCAACAAGCATTGATGTGCACAGTTTGTTGTCAAAAATATTACTTTAGTCTAAAAAAAATTAATTGTTGCCCGTAAACCAACACATGACATAACACGTGCTATAACAAGATTCCGATCAACAGCAACAGCTGAAAAGTGGTTCGATGTCACATGACCACAGACTGCGGAACGAACCTTCGCTGTCGAGGATTGGGTGGTGGCCGTTTGTCCGCCGGTGGCGTGACGAATACGTGTTTAATTTCTGTTCTGGACGTTTTGACCAGGTAAATGTTGGCGGCGGCGAACAGTTTTTGTGCTGTCATGCATGCATCTATTGTCATTGACGCACTATTGCTTTGAATTTCAAGGGTTTCGCTGTGGACTCGAAATTGGCGCAGGCTGCTATGGCGCGCTTGGTGTGTGTGTGCGTCGCCGGAACCACCTGTTGCTTGCGAGAAACCATTTCCGATATTCCATCCTCGCTGCTGGTCAGTCATTGGGCCGGTCTGCGCTAGTTTACTCCTTCGTCACTGTGTGCTCAGGGCCGTGTTCTTGATTATGATTTCGAATTAGTTTGAAACATGTCTGTGATTATGTGAAATTGATTTGCTTGAGAATCCTAGAAGTGCCATAATTATAGTAGAGTTTTAGATAGGAAATGTTGTGATTACATAGTACAGCTAGATTTTTGTGTGCTGTAACACAAAGGCCTGTGAACATTTCGTACCTCAGATTGTAGCTTAAATTTATCATCAATTTTAGTCCTTAATTGTTAGTATCATGCATGTAACCCATAATTAATATTGACAGGCATATACCAGTGAACCATTATGACCAACCACAAGTCAACTGCAGTTCTGGAATCCACTTTGATACATGGGATCAATTCTATGTTATGGCACCAGGGTGTAGCTGGTTATAAAGAAGTAAATGTCAACTATAAAGAATGGTTCCAGGCAAAGTGGTACAAAATCAAATCATAAAAACAAACAATTTCAAAAGATAGTATTCCAAGTAACATCATTTGCAGACCTACTATCTGGCTCATTGGATATGTGCTAAACCTAATGTGGATCTCTGCCTGTCCCTTTCCCGGGCCCCTTGGAATGCTGGGTTGGCCAAAAGTCAAAACACAAAGATGAGCCTTGCCCCACTTACTCTTGGATATTGTGTAGATGTTTGTTGTCAAATAATGCCTTCTATTATGTGTTGAGTCTGCATTGCATTTTGACATAGAAGCTATCTTTACATATGTGGCAAAACCCAGAATCCTTATGATGTGTTAAATTCTGCTGCAAAACTGCAGTAGTTGTGATTTCAGAATTCCATACTTAAAATGACCATCAGGTTATTTTAGTATGTCATTACTGCTAACAGTGAAATGTGTCATTTGTAGTGGCTTCTTATATGCATGACCACAGACTATCTTAAGTGACCATAATGGAATGCTTATTTCATTACAAGATAAGGAATCAAATGTTAGTAGCATCAGGAGGTTTAATCTGGTTGTGCACAAGGAATACATGCATGACATGTGGTGTGAAAGGGGGGTATATAGCAATTGCATCCAGATTCATCCCAACTTGAATGTTTGCCTCTAAAAAGATTTGCCAAAAAGCTTTGTATGATGCTTTAATGCATCTCACAGCTTATCTTGCTCCAAAACTATCTTCAAGGCTATCTGAAGTGCATTTAAACCTGTGGTTCTCTGCTCATAAATTATGAGTGCTCTCAAAATTTTGGGCCTTGGAAAAGCACTGCTTATTGCCCATCTTGCAAGCTAGGGTTTGGATAATTTGCAGTGTTGGTAAACTAAACAGTTGTAAGGGTTATTAGGCAACAGAAGATATTACAACTTAGACACATGCCATATAAAATATCACTTTATATCTACATGTGTTGATTGCAGATATCTGGCTACAGCTGTATGTAAGATTCTAAAAATGCAGGTGGATATTACATGTTTTGCTAGTTTGGGTTTGTGTTTGGATCTTGATAATGCAAGCATAAAGTGGTACAAATGCTGAGAGTGCTGTGTTGGAATGTACTTTTAATTGTTATGTTAAATGAGGTATGCCATGTTTATGGCTTTGGGTGAGATGTGCCTGAACCAAGAGCATAATTTATCATCCAAGAGTAGTATTATGCTGGATTCTGTTTGCAGTATCATTGTCACACTTGGATATAGGTGTCATTGTCATGTCATTTTCTTAGTCACGTTTGTGTGACTTAAAATGATGCCATTTTCTAGTCCAGTTGTGACCAGCATGGAAGGTATTTAAATTTGCAGTTCTGGAGGACTGTCCTTTGATGATCATTATAAGATGTCGAGAGCCACAAACATCTCATAGCATTACCCTTGCTGGGTCAAGCATGACTGCTCCATTTGTTTGATGTCTTTGTTGTTGGAGTTCTGGATTCTTGATTTTTCCTGGTGCATGCTGCTCAGTTTTTGCCTTCTTTATGTTAAGTGCTAAAAGGCACATATTTTGTTACTTTTTACTGTTTGAATCTGGTAACATATTCCATGTTTTTTTTTGGCACTGTTGTATCTTGATGTCTTTATTTGATTGAAAGCATTGTGCTTAAATTCTTGTTGGTGAAGTTTGTATGTGCAGTTTGTCCTAACAAGCATATTTGGAGTGCATTTATGTGCCCTCATGGTATATATGATCAACAACACACTTAGTATGTCATTAATTGGGAACCATGCACATGGTACTGCTATCATGGTTCAGTTGTTCTTGCTTATTGATTGCTGATTTGGCAATTATAGTGCTTCGAGCATTGCAGCTTTACTTTAGGGTATTGAACATTATTTTCATGATTGGATACAAACCCACAATACACAACTCAACTACAGTATCAGCATGAGCCTAACTTAAGACAGCTTTGAACCATCAGCTAAGGCAAAAGTGAGGGCTGTTTTTTGTGATGTCCTATGCAAGGCTTTTAGACCTAACTAAGTGGGAACACATGCACCACTTTTGTGTACTTTTCATGACCTCTGTTGCCATAGGTCACACAAATGAAAAGCGGATGTTTTTCAGCCAAGGGAGACATGTGCCAACAGTTGGTATTTTGATTTCCTGAATAGCATTAGCCTGCATGGTTCAGAGGTGTGAGAAATCCAGCCTCATCCCAGGCATAGATAGTCATGTATAGTGAAGGACCCTGTGGTGTCATGCACTTAAAGGATTGAGCTTGCCGTGCAATAATTTGAGTTTAGCATAGGAAGGCTGTGGCATATTTTCTGGATTTGAGGATGGTTTTCTTGTTTTGGTTACTTTTTAAGCACAATGCAAGAATACCCCTATTGACAGTGATGTTTACATAGTGCAGTCACTGTTGGTAGTGATTTTTTGTTTAAATGTATGTGCAACCATTTTCTAGCCTGTCCAGTTTCATTACTTTTTTCTCACTTCAATTGTGCGTTTACCCTTGGCTGCGATGCGTGCTACTCCGGAAATCCGGATGCACACGGCTTTCATCAGCTATCAACTGATCTGCTTACCTCGGTCTGATGTTTGCGTTTGTGTGTGTTGCAGGTTAACTGGCAAAAACTAAGCCGCCATCATGCCGAAGTCGGTAAGTACCGGCCCTGCTGGGTGCTTTATTCGATACCTCCACAACATGTGTAGTATCGCGCATTGTGTGATAAACCTGCGCATTCCTCTGGCCCAGATCATTGTCACCATGGCCTTTTTCGATGACGGCGTATGAGCAAGCATATAGGAGACAGTTCGCACATGTCGCATCGGAGCATCGTATATGTCGAATGTTGTGCGTATTCCGTGAGAACGAACACTTAAACGCTGGGGAGATCCCAATCCGCGTACGTTAAGAAGCGTGCAACCAGGCGCGCGGATCGTATGTAGTTCTCAAATTGGCAGCAGTGGGCGCTTGTTCGGCAGCATGACACATGCGCATCTCTCATAGTATGAGACCTGCTCATAACTTCCGCGCTGACTTCCGTGCTCTCTGAATTACGCGCATCTGGGCCTCGGGGCCTTAGTGTCTTATGGCTGCATGTTGCAAGAAAGGGTAAGCTCGGAGCGGGCTCAGATCAAACCGGTTTTCATTTCATGCGCTCTGGAATGCTGAACAGATGTAATTAGAAACGTATAAACGGGATCGTCGTCAAGAAAAACATTTGCCAATCCTACGTCGTCAGGGCAAGTTGGAACTCTGATTTACATTTGTGCAGTGGGCCGCAGGGAATGTAAACGCTGGAATGCAGACGTCGAAAATAGCAGGCCATGTTGCTACACTGTCGTCAGGCGCATTGTTCGGCGTGTGAGTCCTCCCTTTCATCATCTTGCGCGGGCGTGCCGCGCCCGGAGGAGTCCCGCCGCGTCCTTGAGGGCCGGCGCGCTGTCAGTGCGGCCGCGGTCACCGTGGCTCGGCGCCTGCACGGTGTCGCGCCCCTGTCCGGCGGCGCGGCGCCGCTATGCTAATGCCGTGTTGACTGGGGGCCGCGGCGCCGGCCGGGGCTGGGTCGACGACCGGCGGCTGGGCGGGCCGCCGCGCCCTGGCCGACCGGCCGACCGCCGCGCCGCTCCTGAGGGGCTTCACAGGCACGTCAGCCGCTCTGCTGAGCCGACCGGGGCGCCGGCGGTCGTGCTCCAGGAACATCACGAGCCCCTCCCCCCCCCCCCCCGTGGCGTCGGGACCGGTGCCGCCTCGGTCGGCGTCGAGAGCCCTGGCACGTGGGCGGGTGCGACGCGAGCCGCGCTTTGTGCCCAGACCACGACCGTCTTTGGCTGGCCGAAGCCCTGCGCGTCAGATCCACACAATAAGTTGTGTGATCGGCTCCCAGTCGTTCGGTCGTATCTGTATCGCCCTGGGGCCTTATCGGAGCACGGACGATAGCAAGTCGCGGCAGATTTCGTCAATGCTCATTCCGTTGGCTTATATTGGATAACGTGCGATACCAACGATGAACGCCGTTTTATGAGCTCTTCCAAGGATTTTGTCGCATTGCTTATGAGGGGTGTGGCTGCAAGACCTGGCGACTCCGCCATGTGGATATGATGACAGCTTATCCAGCCGTGGTCAGCGGCGTCGGTACTCCACTTTCGACTTTGCTGACCGAAGTGTGGCACTCGATTCGTCGTCGTCGTTTCTGAGAAGCGAGCACCAGGACGCCCCGGAGCCACGGCGTGCCGGCCTTGTTCCGCCGCACGCACCGCCCTCCCGACTTACCATACAAAGGTCCCGCCCGCCGGCGCCGCGCGTGCTGCCCCATGCCCCGCGGATAGCGGTGACGGCGCCCCCTCCCCCTCCCTCCACGGGGCTGACTGCGAGCGCGTCCGACGTCGCAAAGAGGGGAGAGTCTCGGCCCCAGGCCTGGGGGGGGGGGGGGGGGGGGGGAGGGGGCGGAGCTGGGCAGGGACTGTCGGTCGGCCGGTGACGCCGACTGCTGACGGCTGACCCGATGTGACCTTGGAAACGTTGATGGTTAACCGCGCGTCGCATCTCATAACACTTTCGCTTGTTTCTCATGGTTGGCTCATTAGGCTAATGACTACGGACCTTGTCGGTTTCACCGGTTTTTAAGCCTTTGTATGCGGCGCGTTGTCCGTCTCCGCCGCTAGTATGCTGGTTTCGCCTGTTTCGGTGTGCGTGCGTGCGTAAGCGGACTTCCCGCCCGATAGCCGCACTCCTAACCTGTCTGATCCGGTGAAAGCGCTTAGTCGTTTGCGTTCCAGCGGATGTCGTGATACGTCGTTGGGTCTTGCTGTGCGGTGTGTGGCCGGTGGGGACGCAGGTTCGCCGCACACGCGAGGGACTGTCGGGTCGGTGGATCAGGCGTCCATGCGTCGGTGTGACGCGGACCCACAGCCGCCTATCCGCGTACCCGTCGGGCGGGTCGGGGCGGCCCATCGGGTCTCCCCCTCCCCTCCCCTCCCCTCCACCCCACGCCGCCGCCGTCTGTTCAGCGACGGGAGCGGCGACCCCGTCCGCCGTCACGCTCCCGTATGTCGGCCTCGCGCCGCGTGACCGCGATGGCCCGGCAGCGCGGCCACTTTCGCTCTCGGTACGGGGCCGGCAGCCGGCCGGGCGGTGCGCACCGGAGGGGCGGCTGGAGCCGGCTCCCGACGCCGGAGCTCTGGCTCCTGGTGCCGGAGCTCGGGCTCCCGGCTCCCGGCGCCGGAGTTGTCCCGCCCGGATGGGCTGCGCTGTCGGCGCCGCACGCACCGGCTGTCAACGGACTGTTTGTGCGCGCTGGCTGCGCGCAATCAGACTCGTCACTGCACGCCCTAGGCTGGGGAAGGTCACACACGTCACATACATGCATATACACACACACGCACATACAACAACGTCGGAGCGGAATGTGCAGTTTCGCCGCCGACCACGACCCACTGGTGATTAGCCTGGATGGTGAGCGGGTAGAGGCCAGGTGATGACGTTGAGGTTTGGGTGCATGTCTGGTTGGACCACAGCTGGTCTGGCAGACGTCACGCTCAGACGGTGTGGGAAATGGCGGCGGAACTGGTGTCGTTCTGGAACGCCGTTCGGATTTGCGCATCCTCCCCACTGTCACGTTGTAGGAGGCGACGGGGATGCTATCTGGTCTCTTAGAGGGAGTGTCCCACCTTTTGGGCATATTTCAAAGCGCACTGGTGAGAGCTCGGGACCAGTCACGTCTAATAACGACACTGATTACTGCCACTGCAGCTCCATCAGGACATAATCGGGATATTGATTTGAATTGCTGTCAAGTTTGAATTACACTGTCACATCCTGAAGGCCGTCGTCAGCTGTTACGAACTAGAGGTGCGGCTTTTGAGCTGTTTTAACCGCAGGTTACCGGACTGCGGGCTTAAAAGTGGCATCCGTACGGGAATGAATGACGTCATTACAAATGAACGCTTGTGGTTGGCACATCGGGCGGCGGAGGCCAATTACCGAGAAGCGCATTGGCTGTGAACCAGTGCGTCACGATAGATCATTTGATGCGACTTTTCCTCAAAGCCAAAGTGCGCTTCGAAAAGAGTCACTTGGTTAGACGCCACGAGGGAGAAATCAAATCCACAGTATAAGGTTTCGTCGAATTCGTGGTGATGGCCTCATGTTTGCGCATATTTCTTCCTAAATAGCTTGTTCCAAGTCTTCGCAGCATTTTATGCGCAATCATTTTGACGAAGGATTGCATTGCAAACATTACAGAGCACACCCGATGTAAAACAGCAAATGAAAGGCCTTGCTCTGATAGTGATGCTCAGAGAGTCCAATAAGATTTATCCTGCCGTAACGGCTATTTCAGAGAGAAACTTTGAGCCATTTAGAAAGATTTTGAGAAAGCTAGTATTACCGATCAAATCGGACAGGCCTGGTCTAACAATAAGTGTGAATAGGATGAAAGGGTGGCACGCTCTTTTCCTTCATCGTCGCTTCTGCACCGCCCCAAAGGCCGTGTGTTCCATGGGGCGGCGTCACCATCCTTGGTTCGAGTCTGCTGACCGGGACCGCTGACCGTCTGTCCGACCTGGGCCGCGTCGTCGCCGCTGGCTGTGTGCCGTGTGTGTGCTGTGGCCCAACTCGGTGGCCGTTGTGCGGTGCTGTCCGGCCACCCGGCCGCGCCGGGAGCCGTGGAGGGCTCCGGCAGAGACGGCGGTTTTTAGGGCGTGGGTGCAGGCTCGTTGCGACACTTGCGGCCGTGCGGGCGTCGGACGCGTCCGATTGATTCATCCGCGGCGTTTTTGCGGCCGTGTGATTCAGGTCCGGACGGAGTCGGGTGTCGGTCGCCTCCGTCTATCTTATCGGGATTGCTGTCAGCGCCGCTGATCCACGCACCCACGTCGTTGCGCTCGCGGCTTGCGACGATTGACACTTGGGATAGTGCGGTAGATTTGGCCGCGCCGCTGCTCTACAGTGCGGGTGCCGCCGGGCCGAGGGGTGCGGGTGCCACCGGGCTGAAGGGGGCGGGAACTGTTCACGGTCGGCGGTCCGTACCTCACTGCTGGCAAAGGGAACCAGTGCGTCCGCTGGGCGTGTTCGGCTGCGCGGTCGCCGCGCTGGCACTGGGCGGGTGAACGAACGTGGTTTGTTCTCGAAGCGTCATCCTTCAGGTGCTGAGAGTCGCAACGTTACAACAAAGCATGTGGACCCCGTCAGCGGCCTTGGATGCACGCAACCCCCGGCTGGCGCCAGCGTCCAAAACTGGTGCAAGTGTGTGAGTCTTTTGAACGAGCATCATAACAATGGTCTTGGAAATGGCAGAAGCCCTGGGCTGTCTGTGCTGTGATTGGATGAAGATGCCCTGTCAATAGAGGTGGTGCAGATCTAAGATTTTTTATGCGATAAAACCCCGAAATACCAACCATCTGCTGGCTGTGTTTTCTTCTTTCAGACAGTCTGTTGTAACTAATTCGCGGAAGACATATTCCTAAGTTATGACTGACACTGGCCGGAGTTATCACAGGTTGCAACCTCCGTTCGTTTCGTGTGTGAGCACGCGTTGACATCGAGGTCGCAGAGTGCAACCTGAAGGGAATGATAAGCCGTTTTCAGCCCGCTGCGGGGTCCAGGATTTCGAAATCAATGACTGGCCCTTCGACGCTTGTGCCCATCTTCAACTA